TCCTTGGACTTCCCACAGGGCAGGGAACCCTGATTGCTCTTCGGGTTGATGAGGGAGGGAGACTTGATTGGGGGAGGGGGAGAGAAATGGGAGGCGGTGGCGGGGAGGAGGCAGAAATCTTTAATAAATAAATAAATAATAAAAAAAGTTTGCCAATATCCATGGGAAGCCTGACATTTTCTGATTAGAAAGGAAGGAGAAATGGACATAGGAAAGGAGGATGACAGGTGGTAGAGGAGAGACCCTGGAAGGAGAGGAGGGAGGGAAAACTTCAGTCATGATGTAAAATAGATGATAGATAGATAGATAGATAGATAGATAGATAGATAGATAGATAGAGACAGAGAGACAGAGAGAGAAACATCATACATCATACCTTAATAAGGAGAAACTATATTTTAGAGGCAATTAAATGTCACTGTACAGATACATAGGAAAGGTGAAAAATTCAAATACTCAGGCAAGTTTTCATTGTATAGTGGATTTTAAAAATCAAAGCGTAGCAGGATTGTATTGTGTAGTATATGTGTCTTGAGTTTATATACATAAGTGTATGTGAGTATGTAAACACACACATACCACAGATGACAGAGAAGGACATTGGATGTTCTGTTCTGTAACTCTCCATCTTCTATGCTTTAGAAAAAAAATCTTTCGGTAGATTTGTAACTATGCTGACCGATGGCAAGCTCTAGCAATCCTGTTGTCTCCGAGGCTCACCCGAACACTAGGATTACAAGTGCATGACAGCATACCCACCCTTTTAATGTGAACTGTGGAGATTTGAACTCAGATCCTGATACTGATGAAGATAGTGAGCCATCTATTCTGTGAAGTGCTAGTTATTCTCATAACTCATTTTCATTTTACATCCTCCATTAAAGTATCTAAGTCACTCAGAACTATTTTCTATTTGTTTTAGAATACATGCACAAAAGTGAAGGAGAATTTTAAGGGTTAGGTCAACTAAACTCAAACTAGCAAGAAAATCTTCAGGCTTAATTTAGTAAAGACCATGTTTTCAGTGTGAAGTTTTAATCATTTTTAAATAGTTTATATTTGTTTTTTCATAGTTGCATAGTTTATTTATTTTTTCTCTGATATTTTTATTACTTTATAAATAATAGGAATCAAAATTTCCACTTCCTCCCCTCTTCCCACTCCCCTCCTTCTCTCCCACTCACCCGACCCCCCCCTCCCCCTCCATTCCTACAAGAGGGCAGGACACCCCGCTCTGTAGGAAGTCCAAGGCCCTTGCCCTTCCA